AAAAAAAAAAAATCAAATACTTTTTTGACATTTAACATAGTCCAAACTTTCAATCGACAAATTTTCTCACCAAAATACTTTGAAACCTTTTTTTTTTTTTTTTTTTTTTTTGCTTCACATCAGTAGTTCCGTTGATTAATCAAAATTTGTAACTGTTTACAGCTTATCAGCTAAAAGTTGCCAATAACAAAAAAGAAAGCAAAAAAAAAGCTATAATAATTATTTATTAAAAAAATACTAAGTAAAAAAAGAAAGATATTTTTTTAACTTAATTTTTAGAAATAAATTTTTAAATGCTTAGCAGATAGCAGTGCATATTTTTTGTGCAAAAAAATAAATAAATAAAAAACTTTTATCAAAAGTTGACGTCGAAATTTTCAATGAACAGTTGTTGTCGACTACTGCTAACAACGCATTTAGAGATTGCAAATTACAAATAAAAATAAAAAATAAAAATAAAAAGCTTTTTTTTTAAGATTTTAGGTATTTGATGTAAAAAAAAAATTTACTAAAAGAATAGCAATTGTTTGAAAATAAAATTTACAAAAAGCAATGAATAAATGGTTAAAAAATTAACAACAAAAAGAAAGGTGATGAAGAAATTAAAAGAACAATTGGTTTTTTGTGTTAACTAAATTTGAGCACAACCGACTATGATTTTTGATCAGAAAATATAATTTAACAAATATATTTTGAAGCAATTAAAAATAATTGAGAATTTTTTCTCTTTTGAAACTTTATTCAGCATCTGATTATTACTACAACACTAATATCTGTTCTGATTCATCTCATTTTCAATTTATTCTCAAAAAACTTATCATTTGTTTTTTTTTTTAACATTCGCTTTACATAATTAGTTTTTTTTAAATATCTCAATATTTTTAGCTGTTACAAGAAAAAAAAACAATTTTTTCTGTTTGCTATCAATTTACAGCATTTAAAAAAATTTTTTTTTTTTTTTTTTGAAAATAAAATAGTAGACGAGAAAAAAAACAATTAGAAATTTATAAACTGTAATTTGTAATAAGAACTTGTTCAAATACATTTGTTGACAAAAAAAAACCTTTTGTTTTATATACCATTGCTATTTCATTTTTTTTTTCTAGTGGAAATATAATATTATAAATAACAGTGGTAATAGAAATCTTGTAAAATATTCAATAATTTAGAAGAAAAACTGTTCAGTTATAGCAAATACTAAATGTCAATAAAGAATTATTTGTTAAGAAAATTAGTTACTGATAAGTGTACAAAATA